GTTGCAATGGACCAAGTATCCTAAAGAGGTTACAAAAAGGCATCTCTGCAGAGGATACATTAAAAGCAGTTTACAGAAGTTACATTGTAAGATCATGTTTCAAACTATCAAGTTACCTTCAACTTCTCATTTAAGTGCAAGTCAAATGGAAAATGGTAAATGAAGAAAGTTAAGATGAAACCAATTTTTTTTTTAAAGGCAGTCATGTCACTTTTACAAATAGCTGCTCTAGTTTTCAGCCTGTTGGACCCAAATCCTCAGAGACAGCAGTTTATGTGCACAGAGGATGGGAAAACTGCATTTTTTTCCCCAGAAGGTTGCATACAAAATCCTCCACATCTGCAAAACTGCTACATTCTATAATTTATATTAATCAGCCTAATATATATAAATAGGTCAGAGCAGTTGCTCAAACGGCCATAACACACGAGATCATCCTGTTGCTGTTTTGAAAGCCTGAGCTATTATATTACTGCATGTCACTTTACAAATGTGTGACCTTAATTATGGCCTAATTCTGATAAACCTATCAATCACTGCTCCAGATCAATCACCAGCCATAGTGTGACACATTTCTATACAAAAAAGGAACAAATACTTCTTATAGCCACTAGGAAGGCAAATTGGTGTGTTACTGTCGTTTAAAAACTAAAACCCATAATTTCTACAACAATGTATTTACTAAGAGCTTTTAAGGGGCTGTTATACAAACAATAGGTCTCACGCTGAAGTGCTGAGCACCAGCCAAACTTAAATGGGAGTTGCCTAGTGCATCTCAGATTCAGGTCCAATATGTTCACAGATGTAGCCATTTACTAAGCCCACTTAATATGCACTACCACTATGGTTAACATTAAAATGCTTAATCCATAGTTAATACTCCATGTATTTCAGTTTCTTGGATAAATAGCCCCTTGCCAGGCATATTCCACTGGGCTAACAGGTTAGATTCTTATCTAGGGGCAGTGACTGTCTCAGACTATCACTCTTATTCCTCTTGCTCAATGACATTCCAAAGAACAGTTTTACCTACCTTAAACACAGTGCAACACTACAGTGCAATGCTTGCACACATCAGAATAGTCTGAGTTAGCATGTGCAGGACGTCTTCTATATGAAAGGGCATAATCTAGTTTGGCAAATGGAAATGCCAATGCCTCTTGACGCCTAACTCAATTTGATATGGCTGCTGTTGGAGACAGAATACTGAACTAGGTGGACCATAGGTCTAAGCCAATATGGATATTCTTATGTTCCTCTGTAACATGTCACTTTACAAAGTGCTGTAACATGTCCTGAATCCATTTGTTTTGCTTCCATGTGTACCTGAAGCACAGTGGAGGTCAGAGAAGCTATACTTGGCCAATTTGAGATGGACAGACTAGGAACATTTTAGAATCTATGTAGCCACTGATGCATTCCTCGTGACATCCCAACTTGCACTTGAATTGTTAGATACATACTCAAAAGCAAAACCAGTGCTTAAAGAGGCGGGGGGGAGGGGAGAGGGTCACAGACCTAGCAATTTATTTATTACATCTAGCTCTGTTGCTGAGGAGTACACTTTAAGCACTGTTTTACCAAAGCTGCTGCTCCCAGATTATGACCCCCTTAAGAACTGACCAATATCGTTTTCACTACTTCCCTTCTGTAATATACCCTCCCCTACCCAAAATCCTCTCACTACCTTCAACTTGTCACCTCCCCAGTTACATGGTTTGTTTCCTTGGTACTTTTTCTGCTTGCAAATCATGTGCCAGTTCTGTGTGGTTACAAAATCTGAATGAGTTTATGATGAAGACTCAAACTTTGATCTAATGTCTTCCTGCATTAGGCCAGCAGCCTTCACTGTAGCAGACTATGATAATTCTAACTCCTTATTCTTCAAACCTAGAGTCAGGGAGTGTGCATGTTTTAGCCCTAATTGTGCAAGGTGCTGAATACCCTTGGATGGATGATGCTAACAAATATTACAATTTAAGACCAGCAGAGAGAATTCTCGCACAAACAGTTCCTCCATCATGGAAAAATAATGATTAAAAAAGGCACTCCAACTGGGCCATATTTGCAATCCTTAAGTTTTGGAATGTCTGCTGCTTGTGGTTAGATGCTAGGGATCTTCACACTTGGCCTCTCTTGCCTTAACACTTTCACACAACCTCATCTACATTAAGTTTAATATCTGTAGTAACATTTTAAGAGTTTATTACATATTTGTAGATTCATCTCTCTCCTTCGGCCAATGTGTATCTGAAGAATTTTAAATAACCAAGATTCAAACCAGTTTGTCATTTTAGGAGCATCTTCTGCAGAAGAGCCTTCTTTAAACATTCATGAATCACCACTAACTTGATTCTGAAGCAGAGTTTTGAAGTCACTGTCAAGCACAGTCAGTCCCAAGAGAACAAACACAGGCAGTGAGATGAGCATATAAGGCAGTGCTTAGTGGGTGAAACATTACTACTCAGCCACATTCAATATCTGCAGATGGACTTTCCCCACTTTGGTTAGCATCAGTGACCTGCTATACTGCATCTTCATCTGTCTGAATGCAAGCATGCAGTGGCCACTTCAGAGAATATGTTCAAACCCAGGTCCTTCAATTAGGAGCACACAGTGTATTGCTGGACCTATTCCAAGACCTATCACCGCTATACGAAGGAACCGATGCAGTTTCCCCACGGATTTCTACGAAGTTCACAACAGGAATCATCTCCCAGTCTGAACAACCCTCCAACAGACAAGGAGCAGCACTAGATCACTAATGTTCATTGCATTTCAAGAATATAGTAACATGATCCCAGAAATCAGTCTTTATTAAAGGCAAGGAAATTAAAATGAATGATTATTCAGATTAGATCTTTTTGAGCAAACGTATTTTAATGTGTCATTTCATAAGTCTTAACCTATCTTTAAAAAGAACTAAAGACATTGCTTCATAGTTCTGCACCAGCAGCAGGAGAAGCATGTGACAATGTTTTCAAATTAAAAGTGCACGGAGTATTTTGCCACATCCTTCATACATAAGATACCTCTGTCAGAAGAAAGAGAATGCACTGAACAAATGTTTAGAATGACAAGTTCCTGAAAATATCCCCTCCCTCTGCCTCGACAGAGGGACTGATACGCAGCACATTCTCTTGGACAACAGTGCAAGGCTTGACCACATGTTCTTCTGTACAAGTATCTGGCATTTAAACCGCTACACTGATTTCCGGGGTATTCAAAACAATGGTTTAATAGAACAAACATTTCTGTATTCTTGTATAGTTAGCTAGATCAGTAACTGATTTGTTATATCCATAAACAGGATATCACAGCCTTACAAGTACCGTGCAACAGCAGTTCAAAATCTCATTCAGCCAACGTCTTCTGGTGTCCTCTGTGTGCTAAGAGTAATCAAACTTTGGTTCTTAGCAGAGGTAAGTGGAAGTGAATGAATTACATATATTTTCCAGAACTGACCTCCATTAATCCTCATCTCCAACAACTTTCAGATACCCAATAACAGATTTATGGATTATCAAGACACAGGCCATTTACAAACATTGCAGTCACAAGTGGCATTTAAATGTGGGAAGTTTAGTGGTCATAGTGTGTGCTGAGCCCCTGAAAAGAGCTCCATTGTCACAAGAGTGCTGAAGATGACCTGAAATGATAGAACCTACATTTTGTTAACAAATGAAATTTCCTATCATTTCACTTTAATTACTACACTTCTGAATTCAGTATAGAATAATAAAGCAGAACTGTTCATCCATGTTGGGATGTGGGAAATCTGAGTCTCATGGTATGAAAAAATAGCTGAGAAGTCTAAAAGCCATGAATGCTACATTTACAAAGCTTAGAGCTTTCCCCAATTTCAAACAACTTTTGGCTTTAAAGTGAAGGTGATAAATGTCATTATTCTCCAACAACTGAGATTTTTTTTTAAAATACAGCATGCATGTTTGAAACATGGAAGCAATGCATCCAGAGAAGGAAAAATAAATCATTCAGGTCCAAACACTGGGCTGATCTAGCAAAATAATGATGGGGCAACTTTCCTGTGAATACAGGCGTGGCCAGAAATTAAACTGTAGCAGGTAGCAGGTGCATAGGCTCAGAAGAAGGAGGGGGAGTGTTGCTCATTTCCCGTATGCAACAAAACAGTATTCTACAGCTCTCCATTTCTGCTAAAAAGCAAGACAGCTAGTAACTATACTGGTTACATGCAATTATCTGGCTGAAGCTTAACTGGTCTGGACAAAGATCTAGAAGCTTAGCATACAACAAGTTACTTGAAAATGCATATTTTTCATCTGAATTGTTAGAACATTACTTCTATTTTGTTCTTTTTCACTGAGATGCCAGAACATTGATTGTATTAAGACAAAATAAGATCCACATCTATTTAAACCTAGCTACATATTTGCCAAAATCCCTAATGTGGGTTCACTTAAAACTTCTTCAGAAGAGGTTTCTTCCATATAATCTACTCAGGGAAAATATTCCTCAAAATACAGATGACATTTAGTAGCTGTTACACAGGGTGATTATAGTGCACCTGTGAATGTTCATCCATCCAGACAAGCTTAACATTCAAACACTTTACTTTAGAAAGCAGGCTTGCTTGTGCCCTAGAACAGCTAACAGGCTGCACGATTGCTGCTCTGGGGCACAAGATGTGGGGTGGGAAGCTAAGGAGGGAATCAAGATATGCCTTAAAAGTTTAAGGAGGCAGAGAGAAAATTCTTATTTTAAGTCATTCCTTAATTAAAATATTTGTACATATATTATTCCTACATCTGACTAGGTTTTATTATTGATTGAGGTCACATTCTCAAAGCTGAAGTCCCTCAAAAGAGGTCAGCAGCAGATATTATTGTAGTTTAGTTCCAGTCATGTCTAATGACTAAGTTACTGAGCCTTTTACAGCTCATTCCATACATACAGACCACATCATCCAAAAATACATGAAAACAACAGTGTTAAAGTAGTAATGCCAAAACACACAAGAAGAAATCACCAGCTCCATTCTTTATTTGACATGCACATGCAACTCCTGCTGGTGATAATGGGAACAGAGAGTGTGCATTTCTAGGGCAACCTTCTTCCCTTGATATTCTGGATTTCCTGGCTTTTCTTAGTAACATTACTTCATCGGTGTGCATGTCTAAATTTCATGCATATTGAATTTATTATTTTTGGTTAGGAAAAAAAAATTCCCTTAAAGATGAGACAGAGCTAATACAAACTACTGCCACTCTGATTGTCAAGATATGTATTGCAAAGTGGTGGCAGTGGAGGGTTGTTTTGTTTTTGAAGAGGCAGGATAATTAAGAAAATCTGTTTAAGGTACTTTTACACAACAAGTACCGACCCAGTGGTTCATAATACACATTAAACGTATATTTGTCTTAGTGAATTATTTTAATGGCAGTTTTCTTCATTGTTCCCACAGGTCTCATCTTTGGTTCCTCACATTAAATATGATTTCCAATCCATCAACCCAATAGAGATTGTGTGTTAACATCTCAGTCAAGCAATTAATTCCTGTGCTAAACCTTTATGCAGATATATTCAACAAAATTGGTGCAGAGAGTGAGATTAACGTATCTCAGAATTCCTCTGCTATCAATATTACTCCCCAAGAGGCCCTCAAATTAGGCATCCACAGAATGCCAGAATTCAGTTTTAAAAATATCTCCAAATCCTTTCGGAACTACCGGGGGAGGGGGGGATCTAAAAAACATTTATTTTCCTTTTGTAAAGATTTTAAACACAGTACTGAATTCTGTTTTCCTCAGTCAATGGTAAGTGCAACCCTCCTTTTCTGGAAAATTGGCTAATGAATTGCCCAGGTAGCATTGTGGGCATTATCTACCAAGTGAGCTACACTTGCTCTGTTACTCATTCCAGATTAGCCCTACTAAACCTCAAGCCAGAACTACCGGGGTCTGATTGTGGTAAAGATTATTAAAAAAATATCTGAAAGAAAACTGAGAAATGAATCCTTTTGTAGATTTTTCATCTTTAGCGCCTTTCAAGTTTAACCTAAACTAATTAATGAAGATATATAAATATATGCAATTTATACTACAAGTCTGGAAACAACTACCTTTTTCAATATTATAGCAGTAAAATTGGTTTATAAATTCAGATTTAGGCAAAAAAATGTCATCCCTTGTCAATAATAATTAAAAAAAAAGAGTAACATAACAATATGATAATTCCAGAAGGCAGGGCTAGATTCTAAAAATACTGTACTATGATTTATTGACTAAACTGGATATTATTACACCAAAAAGGGGTCCAAATTATAGCTGTAGACTAACCCCAACATTCTCATTAATAAAGCAATTAAGTAAAGCTATGTTGGTCTAAGGATTTAGCTTTAGTCAAAATACATTACTGTAAGTTACTACCTTTACTGACTACACTTTGCAGGGTAATCTGTCCAGATATCCACAGATCCAACCTCTTACTTTTTGTATGTGCTCGTTTCTTTTCCTCAATGCAGATCACCTGGAAATCAACAGCCAGTTCAATCAATGAGATGTAAATACAATGACGCAGTGCCAGTTATTAATCTCTATCCAACAGCATTTGACAGGAATAGTTTCCAAATGCTATTTCTTGATGTCTGGGTATGGGAACTTGTAATAGGTAAAATACTGCATATTATTTACAAGTACCCTTATCCACAGCCTTCTTTCTATACATCACCATCAGTATAGTGTACGCTTGCTAAACAATCTATTTACAAATGTAAACTATGGTATTAAAATTTTAAATAAATAAAACTGTATACAATCTCTACATCATGTAATGATTTAAGAGTGAGGTAATATAACCCAGCTGATTACATCTTTCACCATTGGGCAAGTGATTTATCCATGTAGTGCTAAAAAATTCTGATGAAGGAATGAAACCCTTGGCTCACTCTGTCCACTTTGTAGGGTCTTGCTTGATTTTTTTTTCCCCCTTTATGCTGAATAATTGTGTAAAAACTCCTTAAGCTTTGTTGGATAGTCTGTCATCACTCCAGTTGCTCCCAAATCAAATGCTCTCTTATATTCTTGTTCTTCATTCAGTACCCAAATATACACCTAAAGACAAAAGTACAGAATGGACAGATCATCTAGGAAGTCATCAAAATTAAAAGAAAAAGTACACAAAAATTAAATAAGGAAAATTATGATCTAAAAAGTTTCATATTAGTGAAAGGGGAAGCCAGGTATATCCAAGATGCTCACATCATCATGACATCAACATCATACATAAAAACAGGTACCTGACTGCAAATCTAGGAAAATAAGTTCTCTAATGACAAATGATACAAACTTCAACCTCTAACTGGCTATAGAAGAATGTGAGTCTCTCTGTTCAGACATTCCCAATTAGTAAAACTAGTATTAGCTAATGCAAAGCTGATAAGGGACAAGTCGTTTAACGGGTTTTGTAGAGATTTAAAAAAAATCAAATATGAAAAGAAATGTTTTAATAAAATCAAAAAAGAGTTTTCAGTTAAAAGGGCTTTTCCCAGCATCTAAATATTTCTTTAAAGTGCATGTGTTAGTGTCTGAGTAACAGAAAGTGAATACAGAATTGAATGTGAAACCTATAAACCTGATTATGAACAGAATAGTATTTTACAATCTATCTTGACTGCCTGTGATAAATAAGGTACAAAAAGTGCACATCAGTGGTGAAAAACTAGTTAGATTTTAAAAATCTATTCAATTTGGATAATCTCTAGTGTTACTAGTAACAAAGGCAAGGAATTTATTTAAAATGCTTTTATTTTGATAAAGTCCCTTTAAATAAATACTTTGGGGGGCAAGAGTATCTTTCCCCCACCTCCACTCCCTGCATGGAGCCTTATTAAAATGTCATTTCATCTGGAAATCTGTTAAAAGCCTTTTCATATTAAAACGTCAAACAAGTAGACAGAGAAAAGTAAACTACAAATATTAATTAGTAATCAGATGCAAGGCTTCACTTAATCCACTGCAACTTTTATATATACCGTAAGGACTGGACTAAAGAGGATGCCTACTTTAAAACTGTACACACTGAGAACCCCTTCAGTTATTAGGAAGATCTGGCTGATATAAATTCTAACTGCCTTCAGTTCCTATCTTCAGGTCTAATTTTAGGAACAAGGGGAGTGGTAGTGGGAAGATGGAGTCAAACTTCTAAGAATATTAACAAAATACCATGTAACTACAAACCAGCTTGACTTCTCGTTTTATCACACTGTACCTGAATGCCTCGAGCAGTAAGGTGATCAAACAATGCTTTCCTCATTAACAATCTGCAGCAGGGAGAAAAAACTATTATTTTTACAGGACTCAAAGCATGCTAGGCATCTTAGACCATGGCGAATTCTCAACATCTGTATGTTCTGTGGCAACTGCTCCACGTCACACAGTTTCATGGCCCTGCAATGAGGAACTCTGCTTAAAAGCCCAAGTAATGAAAACTTCCAGCCTAGCTACGGCTAGGAAGCACAGAAAACAGTATTCCAAACTATTTGCATTAGCAGTGTATTTTTGTGATTCATTAACTCTTCTCTCCACAAACAAACTCAACTCCAGGTAGGCATCCTCTTTTTAAAAAAGGGTCTTTTCTTCCTTTATAGCAGCACCACTCTACATCAATGTCAGTGAAATATGAATTAAGGAGCACCACCATTAGGCAGGATTCTTATCTGATTTATACCCATAGAATAACCCTCTTTAGCCTCAAGAAGAACTTCATCCTTGATGATAATAAACATGAAACTTTTCTGAAGTGACCTCCCATTAGATCAGATTGCCTATCAGAGATCTTTATTTGGGTTACAGAAGAAGTGAGAGACAAAAAAGACTTACTAGATCAAGTCCAACTCCTGCAACTTTTGGATTTAGTGACCCTGCAGAAGACACACATTTAACAGTATCTTTCAAGGTCCAGCAAAGCTGTATAGGATATCTTGTGGATACCATGAAATGGCCACATGAAGTAAGAGGCCAGATTTTGAACCCACTCACACCCATGTAAATTGAGAGTAACTCCACTAAAGTAAATAGAGTAATTCAAGATTATCTTATGGGTATAAGTGAGATAAGAACCTGCCAAGTGGCAGTGCTCCTTCATGCATATTTCACTGTACAAACCTACAAAAGATATTCCCCATGTGCTGCAGGAGATGCAAACTGGCACTGCCTCAAACATACAAAATACCCAAATTTGGCAATATACAAAATATGGTTAATTTCATAATAGTAACTCTGTCCTTGTCACTTGAGGCAATAATCACAATGTATATAGAAAATGAAGTGTGCCAGGAAAAGATTGAAGTCTTACACATCAGCAAGCCAGATAACAAATTTTTGGCTTCTCGTCATCTTCTCTGGTTCTTTCAGCCTAAGAAAAGAAAAAGGATCTTAAATTTACCTCAGCACAGAAAAGTACCATTTCAAACTATGTTCAAGCAAAGGAAGTGTGCTGGATCAGTCTTGTGACTTCAGAAGCAGTTTCTCTGCACAAGAGTATGGGAAGAAGAATCTTCCTCTGAGACCAATTACTTGGATTGTGCCACATAGGAGAAATGTGTTACTTTAGGTGGAAGGCAGGAGAGATGGAGACCTAGAGGCAATTTCAACTAATGGTTTGGGCAAAGGAATAAGAAATCAAGAGATCCTGAGATATAACACAAGCTCTGATATCATCATGCTTTCTGGCCTTCATTGGCTCACTTCATCCCTGTGTCAGTTTCCACATCTGATAAAAGGTAGGTAGATGGTGTCAGAATAATTTCTTTTTGCAGCACTGAAGAATGTATTACTATATAAATGCTAGATATTACTCTTTAGCTAGCCTCAGCAAAAGTGGTGTCTGCAAAGACAGCTGCTTTTCTCTGTGGGATGACAGATTAGGGACACTGCTGTAAACAGGAAATGTGCTGGGTGCACATAGTTGAACATAAACACATCCCACTGCTAACCACTAAAAAAAATTCAAGGATGTCACGTACACGTTTCTTAACTAAAGAATAGAAATTTAGCAAGATTTTTGCTTAGACATACACAAAAAAAACCCACATCAGAGAATACATGCCATCTTTATCTGTTCTGGTAGAAATACTCTCTCTCTGAACAAAGATATTATCTTACATTTATATGGTGCCTTTTACCAAAAGCACTTTACCCAATATTATATATAGTAATTATTTCTCTCACCTCTGAAAGGCAGATACCTCTCAGTTTTAATAGCACAGAGCAACACTACACAAACATTTAGGACAACAGGGGAAAACCACACGTGAAAACAATTACCCAAACAGGCCTGGACACTGTAGTCAATCCCCTCTACTCTTGCTAGACATGGGCTGGAATCTTTAGATGTTTAAATGCACTGATTAAATACAGACTAAAGGGAACAGTGCCACATACCAGATCACTAACACCACTTATTTCAGCATTCAGACTTCCTTGGAAGTTTCCCATACAAATAATGCCCCCAAATTGACCCTATATAGCTGGAGAAATATAACTAGATCAGTGTCCAAGACTGCACAGACATTTTATTGCCTTGCTGTTATTTCACTGGAATGACAGCCTGATGAGTGTGTAAATCACTTACTTCAGGATGATTGAGGGCATGGGAATTTCTAAGAATTCCTCCCTGATGGGAATGAATGGCAGCAGACCAGTGTAAAACAAGCCAACAAGAAGCAGGACACGTTTCAAACAGAAAAGGATAGGAATATCAGCATTCTGTAAAAAACATGTAGGAAAATAATGAAAGTTATTTATCAGGTTGCTGAAACTTTTGTATCAAAACTATCTTCAGTGAATGAATGTGTTATAAAGTTTAGCATTTGTGCTTAAAGACATAAAACATCCAGCAGAGTTGCCAACTGTCCAAGTTTGCTGGGTCTGCCCTTGATTTGTGTAGTCCCAGCTAAAGTTGCAAGCAATTGGAAGAGGCAGTAGCTGCTGGAAGATCAAGCTGGGTCAAGGGAAGGGTTTCAAGAGAGCCAGCCATTGCCTGTGATCTCCATCCCCTGCTTCTGTAATCTGGTAAAATTCTGGTGAAAACTATTCTGGCACTAAGCACCTCCAGTGTCTCATATTTCCATTACCACATAAGCTGTTCATGCACAAAGGGGTGCTGTTGAGCTTCAGATGAGCTGAGCACCCTTCCAGAAAACCAAAAGGGCAGAATCCAGGCACCACTGGCTGCCTACTGAGTGTGGTTTTGACGGACTCCAAAGCAGTCACCAGCCTGGGGAAGAGGGCTTTGGACAAGAGAAACCAGCTGCCATTCTAGCAATATCCAGCTCAGCTGTGACTGGGAAACAAAGACAATCAGAAAATAACAGACACTGAGGAACAAGAGACAGCAGGATTCAGAGGACAGAAGTGAGAAAGGTAATAGTCCTTACTCCTTCCCCACAATCTACTCCGTAGATTGATTTCTCTGCCCGCCCCACCAATTTTGTTTTCCTCCAGTATTATTGATCCTGTATCACAGATGTATGCAATAGTACTGTGCAGTGGGTAAATCTTGCTAAAAAACAAGCAAGCAAGCCAGGGGCTATCTACACTCAAAAGTTATACTGCTTTAACTATAAAGTGGTACAACTCTCCTATTGCAGACACAATCATACAAGTAGTAAAGGTGCTTGTAACTGGTATAGCTTATTCCTGTACAGGGAAAGGAATAAGCCGTATTGGTATAAGGCACCTTTACACCAGTATAAGCGACTGTCTATATGAAAACTTAGTGCTTGGCAAGCTGGGGTGTAAATCAAACTCGCAGTAGCCTGCTGCACACTAAGTGTCACTGTGGACCCTGTTGCCGTGCACTGTAGGTTCTGTACTGCACTATAAGTTACCCCACTTTGAAATAGGAGTAGATTAAAGCACACTAGGGAACTTTTAGGGCACATCATTAGGGTTCACATGGACAGTTAGTGCACAGCAGGCTAGCGCAATGTAGATTAACACCCCAGCTTGCCAGGCACTGTTTGTACACACAAACCCTAATTGGACCCACACTAGGGGTGTTGTTCAACTTGAGCTACTTTCAGTAGAAAAATTATACTGCCAACAAAGTAGTTAAATTGGTGTAAAGACTGTGTAGATCAAGCCTAAGAGTTCCTCCCACAAACAGCTTACAGCCTAAAGGCATAATACCCAGGACATTACAGTAAAGAACAGAATAGCGCAGAGACAGTTGTGGGTAGGCTTTATTACTTGAATGTTTTTTCACAGAGCAAGTGAGTCTTCACAAAACCTTTGAAGAAGAGTGAGTGCCCTTGGTACACCTCAGCTGGAAGGCCATTGTTGAGACTAGCAGCACAAATTAAAGAGTGTCATAGGACAGCATGGAGTCAGGAGAGAACTTCAGTAAGATTGTATGAATAGGATGGGGAGTGGGAAGAGATGTAGCAGTAAAGAGACTTGAAAGCGAGGAGGAGAATATTCAACTTGATGGGGAAAGACAGCCGAAGCCAGGAAAGAGGTCAGAGAAAGATGTGGAAGAAGAATGTGTGGGTCTTACTCTCAAGCATCAATTAAATACATTCATATGTATGAAAATTAACATAAGTTGTTATTTTAAAAAGTTAGGACAAAAAAGGAAGTGTTAATATTTAGTTTAATTTATATTTTAATGTGTGGAAGAGTTAATACCATATTGCTACCACAGTTCTGACCACAGGTGAAAAACCTGGGTAAATGGCTAAATACACAGTATTTTTCTGTAAATGCTGAATCACTCAATCACCACACAGTAACAGACAGGAGAGTGTAAAGACACTGATCCTTTACTAGGTCATAGTTATTTCTTGGTGCTTACCTCTTTATGACACTTCTCCACAATCTCATAATTGACATTGCCCCACACTGTCAAACGTTCTCGTTTGTACTGGCTCACCAACTCTGAAACCTGTAATCAGTGATCAAAAAGCAGAATCCTGACATTTATTCACTGATACCACCCATTTGAGATGTTTATTCTTCATCACTTGAAGAATTATTCATCGGGAGCTCAATATACTGCAATTTATTATAACAAAGAGTTCCTTCAGAAAAAAAACAACTCTTCATATTCTCTCCCACCACTTTAACACAGTCACTTCTAGGATGGGATACAGCAGCTGTTCAGCACAGCATTTCAGGACAAGAGATAAAGAATACTGAGACATGGCGTTGTTGTTAGTGACTATAAATAGAGCCCCTTCTGGGAACCAGCATCCTGGTCACTTAGGACATGCAGGGGCACTGGGTGTAGTTAGAGTGAGAGGGAGTTAGGTAGTTTAATTGTGTTTGGAAGCTTAATGGAGATCACTTGCCCCTGTAGGGAGTCTGATGAACTAATGAAGTAATTAGCTCATGAGCTGGACAGCTCAGAGAAGGAAGCAAGCAGTAGAAAAGGCTGAGCCAGGGAGCAGGAGGGAAGCCCCTTCTATCTGCTGCTACATTGTGTTGTACCTGGAGCATAAACAAGAAATAATAATAAAAACTCTTGGTGAAGGTACCCTGATGGAGCACATATGCTGTTTAAAAACCAGGAGGGCTTTACCAGCCAGCCATATTAGGGGGTTCTCTCTTCTATGAAGTGCTGTTATCTTTACCTAAAAAACATATAGTACACAATATCTAGATGCCAGTGTCCACAACAGTAATGGACCTCCATCTTGCATCTCATCTTAGAGATGCCTCTAGCAACATAGCAACCCCTTCCTATTGCCATGATGAGCCCAGGTTCAGTCCTGACTCAGGGGAAAAAACGATTACTCCTAACTGTTGTTCAAGTTGTTCACATCCATTCCAATTAGGTGTGTGTGCACCGCGTGCACAGTTGTCAGAAAGTTTTCCCTTAGCAGCTCCCGTCAGGTCAGCTGCAGAGTTCCCTGAAGGGGCACCTTCATGGAGCTAAATATATGAGCCTGTCCCTGCTCAGTTGCTTCTCGCCGGCTACTCTGACAGAGGGATAGGGGGGTGGGTATTGGAATGGACACGAACAACACATCTTGAACAACAGTTGCAAGAAGGTGAGCAACTATTTTTTCTTCTTCGCGTGCTTGTTCACATCAATTCCAATTAGGTGACTCCCAAGCTCCACCCTGGAGGTGGGGTTAGAGTTAAGGAACCGCTGATTGGAGCACTGCTCTGTGGAATGCTGCATAATAGCTTAATGAGAGGTGAACGTATGCCCCAAGGACCAAGTTGCTGCCCTGCAAATTTCTTGCATCGGGACTTGGGCCAGGAACACCATTGACGAGGCTCGTGTCCTCGTGGAATGTGCCGTAAGTGCCAGGGCTGGGATCTTGGCCAGCTTATAGCACGTGCAGATGCAGGACGTGATCCATGAAGATATTTTTGAGATGAGACCAGGAGTCCTTTCATCCGGTCTGCTACTACTACAAACACCTGGTTTGACTGCCTGAACGGCTTAGTGCGCTCGTTGTAGAATGCTAGTGCCCGCTGAACAGCCAACTCTGTTCTCGATTACTGGCATGAGGATTAGGATAGAAGACACGTAGAAAAATGTCTTTGCTGGTATGGAAGTGACACACTACCTTGCGAAGAAAATCTGCGTGAGGCCCGAGTCGCACCTTATCTTTGTGGAAGACTGCGTAGGGTGGATTGCAGGTAAGGGCCGTTAGCTCTGACGCTGTCCTGGCTGATGTGATGGCGACTGGGAAGGCTACCTTCCACGACAGAGAAGGGAGCAAGTCGCTAATGGTTCAAAAGTGGGCTCCATTAATTTGAAGAGGACCAGACTGAGGTCCCATGGTGGGACAGGCTGTCTAGTCTGAGGATGTAGGCGTTCCAGACCCATGAAGAAATGGCCTACCGTGAGGTTAGAAAATACAGATCTGCCAGATGCTCCCAGCTGGAAGGCTGAGATAGCAGCAAGATGTAACTTGATGGATGACGCTGCCAATCTGTGTTGTTTCAGGTACAGAAGGTACTCTAGAATGAGTGGTATAGACCCCTGTAGTGGAGATATATGTTGCTGGGCACACCAGCAAGTGAACCTTTTCCACTTAGCTAGATATGTGATCCTAGTGGATGGTTTCCCTCCCTTACTGGTTCTGAGCACAGAAGCTCCATGGGGTTTAACCATGAAGCTTCCAGGCCATGAGATGGAGTGACTAGAGGTCTGGGGGGTAAAGGAGACCGTGATCATGAGTGATCAGATCGGAGGGCAGTGGTAACTCAACTGGCTTGTCCACTGACAGTTCCAGGAGCGTGGTGTACCAGTGTTGTCGGGGCCACGCTAGGGCCACCAGATTTACTTCCACTCTGACCCTGCACGTACCTTGTGCACGAGAGGGATCAGGGGAAAGGCATACAACAAGCGGCCTCCCCAGGGTAGCAGAAACGCATCTGTGATTGAGCCCGGGCTGTGCTTCTGGAAGGAGCAGAGTATTGGACACTTCCTGTTGCTCCTGGTGACGAACAGGTCGACCTGGGAAAACCCCCACCTTTGGAAGATGGAGTGTATGACATCCGGACGGATGGACCACTCATGATTGCCAAATGACCTGCTGAATGCTAGTTCATTCTGAGCTCCTGGGAGATAGGACACCTCCAGGTGAAAGGAATGGGCTATGCAGAACTCCCACAGCTGGTAGGCTTCTCGGCATAGGGGGGAGGAACAGGCTGCACCCTGCTTGCTGATATAAAACATGGCAGGGGCGTTGTCCATCATCACTACCACGCACTGACCTCTTAGTCAGGCCTGAAAGGTTTGGCATGCTAACTGTACTACCCTGGGCTCCTTGATATTGATATGAAGGGGGAGCTCGTCCTGTGACCATAGGCCCTATATTTGGAGATCTCCCAAATGCGCACCCCAACCCAGAGCTGATGCATCCGTTACCAGGGACAAGGAGGGCTAGGGGCTGTTGAATGGGACTCCTTCGCACACTGTCCAAGGGTCGAGCCACCATTGGAGGGACTCAAGTACTTGCTCTGGTACCGTGACCACTGAGTCCAGGCTGTCATGCCCTGGGTGGTAGGCCGAATCGAACCAGGCCTGGAGTGGCCCGAGCTTCAGTCTGCCATGGTGGACCACGTAAGTGCAGGCTGCCACATGGCCAAGGAGACTCAGGCATCCCCTTGCTGTAGTGGTCAGGTATCGCCTGAGGTTTTGAATAATGTCTGTTATGGCTTGGGATCGGGTCTCTGGAAGGAACACCCTTGCCTGTACCGAGTCCAGCACCTCCCCGATGAATTCTATTCTTTGGGTCGGTGATAAGGTTGACTTGTTCAAATTAAGGAGTCGTCCCAGTCTCTTGAAAATGGATCTGACTAATTGGACTTGAGATTACCTGCTCCCTGGAGTACCCCCCATAGTAGCCAGTTGTCGAGGTAAGAATTAATTCTCCAGCGGAAGGCTCCTACAACAGACATGCACTTGGTGAACACTTGGGGAGCTGTTGACCGGCCGAAGGGGAGGACCATGAACTGATAATGTTTTTGGTCGACCACAAACCGTAGAAATTATCTGTGTGCAGGTTGAATAGCTATGTGAAAGTATGCATCTTTCATGTCGAGAGCGGCTTACCAGTTGCCTGGATCCAGAGAAGGGATAACTGTACTTAGGGAGACTATGCAGAACTTCAACTTTATCATGAATTTGTTGAGCCCTTGCAAGTCTAGGATGGATCTGAGACCCCACCGTGGCTTTGGGGATTAGGAAATAATGGAATAGAATCCCTTGCCCCATAGCTCCTGAAGAACCTCCTCCACTGACCCTGCTGTGAGGAGCACCTGCACCTCCTGGATAAGGAGTTGCTCGTGAAAAGGGTCCCTGAAGAGGGACGGGGTCCTGGCGGTCCGCAGCAGACTGTGAATGAAGGGCAGATTCCACAAGCAACTGCTTCAATCGGAAATCTTGCTCCTTTAGTTCTGGTGCAGAGACCCCTGCAGATCTTGCATCTTTCTATCTGGTGCACCTCCTACAGACATGAGTCATGGGGGTCGCTCGTTGGCATAGGCTTGGCTGCAGGTTCCGCAGGGTTTAAAAGCCTTAGGCTCACGGCATGCCCACGAGCCCAAGGGAGGGTGGAATTTGGGAACCCCGCTCCCAAACCTCACTATATATACTAACAACTAAAACTAAGCTAAACTAACTATATGAAAGAACGCTAAGGGAAGCACTTGCTAGGCAAGAGATCGCAGTTCCAACGACCATCACTGGAAGTAAGAAGGAACTGAGGAGGGGCCGGGTCAGCAGGGTCATATACTGAGTGCCATGAACGCGCCACTCCAGGGGGCTCCACAGCCAACCAGACAGGAGCTGCTCCGGGATAACTTTCCGACAACTACGCACACACCTAATTGGAACTGACATGAACAAGCACTTGAAGAACACCACCTTCCACTGAATCATCAGTTCTACTTCCTGTAGTCTCTTATCCAAGTACAGATAAGATGTGACCTTTGCGCAATTTGATTCAATTACAACTCAAGGTGCTAGTTTTGGGCAGTAGGTACTGTGTCGTGTACCTTTTTAATCAGCACATTGTTGTTCACTTTGATGTCAATGTTGACCGGAGTATTTGGAAATGCCTCAAACACCTCCTTCAGCAGTGGAATGCGATTGTCTTCACCCTCACAGTGGCATTCTGGGAAAGCAAATGGAGTTGTGTCAGTGCTGTGATTTGCCTCTCAATATTTTGCAGTTAAAAGCAAATCTATAGAGCACTCAACATTTTGATGAAGGACCTAAAAGAAAAATAGTTCTGAAAAGCTAGCATACTCCTTGTACTGAGGGGAAAAAAACCCTGCAACTATCTAGGTGAATCAAAATCATTATCAAGGTCAATCCTATGGTCCAGCTTACAGTGCAATATGCTACCCTTGGATGCTCATACTTGGGGGAACCAGTCTCCTCACTGGTCATTTTGGTCAGGTGCCAACGGGGTTACCTTTAGCTTCTTAACCCTTTACAGGTGAGAGGATTTTTCCTCTGGCCAGGAGGGATTTTAAAGGGGTTTACCCTTCCCTTTATATTATGACATGCCCCCCCAAATCTCAGCTGGGCCTCTTGGACCAGCATACTTGTATAGGAATCTGGCAAGCATACACAAATTTAGTTCTAATTTTTAATCTAGATATGTCAGGTGGCACATGGCAAGTATAAAAATCCATCCCATGAAAATGGTGTAGCAGTTTTGTATCACAGGATAATTTGTAGTGCTATTCTGCTCAGTAATGGTAAGAGGCCATTTTAAATTTCACATTTAAGGTCACTGAATGAGAAATATTTTTATTAAGTGGAACTAGAATGCATTTTTGTATTTTGCTGTCCAACTGTGTAGTATCATGATAGTGACTATGACATCAGTTCTCATTGCTAGAATCAGTGTCTACTATACCTATGTCTTACCTCTGGAAGTTGTTCCTCAAACTATCTATGTGCATGGGAATGGGGGAGACTTCCCCAGCAGGCACCCTGGCACACTGTTCTTGTAGGAGGGGCAATGTGGGAGGGGCAATGTGTGCAGACTTCCACTGCAATGCTTTCTTTGATCCAAGATATTAAAAATTAGAATAGAACTTCTACCTCCAGTCTCCTCCTCTATCAAGAATGGTTTACATACAGTTCACACCAACCCTGCCATGATGCCAGAGTGTGGTTTGGATGACACATCCTATCCCAAAAGCTATTATGAATTGGTTGTCAATTAGCAGACCTCCAACACATGAAATTCAAAATAACTTGGAACAAAAAATAATGGTCATCATCATCAAAATTTCAATGCCCACCCTGTTCAAATCCTAAGTTAATGGTCATGGCCAACATACCCTCAACGTCCAACAGCTCCAACCTGCTAAATTTAATGGTTAATAGATAATGTTAAACAGAAGTTGGGACTGATAGAAAGAATAGATAGGTATCATCTAGTTAAGAAAGTGTATTCTCTTCTTAAACTTTTATTTACTGGGGAAGCATTATCTAGTGGTTGGAGAAGGGAACAAGAGCCAGGAAATCCAGGTTTCAGTCCCACAGATGCTGTGTTACCTTGGGCAAGTCAGTTGACCTTTGTACCCTTATTTTCTCATTTGTAAAATAGGATAATTGTGAAGCTTCATTTAGTGTTTTTTAAATGCTTTAAGATTCTTGATGGAAGTTTCAAATATGCCCAAGGTTATTCAAAACAACGTTGAGGACCATTAATACTAAATACAGATACTACTAAGTCCTTCAATTTAGCCCATTTGATAAAGTCTTCAGAGGCTTTGAAGTGAGGTAATTACTTTTAATTTGAATCTGTCAACATGGTGAACATGATCTATTTAAGTAGCAGCCTGAGAACCAGCAGCTTGTTTTCATGAGGAATATGTTCACCATTTTATATGCTTTCCTCCTCTCACAGCTATATTGGTGCTTCTTTTAAACCCATTAACAGAACAACTCACTCTCTCCATTCCTTCTGCTAAAAATGCATTTGTGTCAGCCAGAATATTGCAGAAGTCTCTACCAGAACAGCGTAGTAGATCCAAAAAGTCTCTTGAAGTCACAAGCAGATAGCACACTAGCCAAATGCCATGAGTTGGAAAGAGAAAAACCATCCCCACTGCCATATCAGGGATCATGAATCAACAATCTTAAAAGAAATCACAGGGGAATTGGAAAGTGGATGTACCTACTGCATGCAAGTAACTGAACAGGAAAATCTCTCCTCCCGAGTAAACATTTTAAATTAAACCACTACCCAGTGATGTGGAACATATCAATCTGACCTTAGTAACCAAAAGAGCTTTAAAAAAAATTTTTTTTTTTAATCAAGGCAGTTGATTAAAACAAACAATCTTCCATTCCATTTTTCAGAATAAGAACTATGCTATTGTTAATTCATGGAAAAATATTATAAATGCTGTTGGAATTTAAAATGATAGGTTTACCTACAAAGAAACAAAAAGATTACCTTTCTGAAAGGTGACATCCAATTTGCAGAGATATGGTGGGAGTTCCTTTAAAAAAAACAAAAATGAACATTAGCATAAATACACAAATACAGTCACTGTTTTTCTTGAAACACATGGAGCATAACAAATTTCAAGGCATAAATCATATAAACATTGATTATCTTGAAAAGATAACTAACATTTTGTATATATTTATAAGGTCTCTTTGCCGTTGTATTAAAAATGGTTTTGCGAGTTGTTTGCACAATGACACAAAGCAGAATGAATATTCTTAGAGCTACCCTAGCAGAGACTGAATAAACCAAAGCATGATTTTGAAATTTTTATCTAAGACTTTGGTAATTCAATTAAAATGTTATTGAAAATGCGTTTTGCAAGAGATGTGTTTTTAAAACAATGGCTCAGTACTTAGATATTGAAGGACACACTACAAATCTAAGACACACACTTTGGAAATCACAAGTGCAGTGTCCTTTGCTTCCTTCCCTAGCGTGATGTCTTAAAGCAATATATATCTGTTGCCTATTTTTTAACCATTAGGTTTTTAAAATTTTCTTAAACTTACCACGTACTTGAGGTCAGATATACTGACGTCAACTCCAGTTGCTCTCTTCAGATTCTCATCATGTGATACCACTACTTGTTCGTCTTTCGTCAGATGGCAATCTAGCTCCAACATATCTGTCCCCACATTAACTGCACTGCAGCAAGCCAGAAAACAGTCTTGAACCATATACCACATAGTTGTGTGGCATACAAAACTAATTTATAAACACACAAACTTTTATTCAGTGAACTTGGTCCTGGTGAAAACCAAGAGACTTTAAATTATTTACATATATACAATTTGAAGCTGGGGAACAGCAAAGTTAACAACTGGCATAAGAACAGTGTCAAAATCAGTGACTAAGCTGGGATTTGAACTTGGAAGCGCCTGACTCCCTGGCCTCTGTGCAGATCACGTATTTTTTCCCCCTGTACTGTCTAAGCCTCAACACACAGGCTTGCTAATCTCTCTCAACCCAGAGGTACCAATTATAAGGGTGATAGGGTACTTCACTCTCCATGGTCACAGTTTAATAATTTTGGCATTTGATACCTTCTAGCCTCAGCATATTTACTGTTAGGAAAATTATAAATTTAAACTCTCTTTAATGAAAATTATTTGAACGGCATACAATTTTCTTTTAAATTAAAGATTTTTTTGAAGTGTTAAAAATGTCTTTAAATGACATACAAGAGACAGCTAAAAAAATATTGAACACTTCAGTACTGCGATTCTTTTCTTTTTAAAAAGCTTGTCTGATTTAAGTTAGCAGGGACTGGATGGCTCAGGGAATTAGCAAAGGGACATACAGCCTTGCACCTTTTGGATACTGGCCCAAATGCAGCTCAGATTAGTACTGAACAAAAGCTGTTACCATCTGAGAAGTCCCAGGTGACCTATGAGATCACCAAACTCCACAATCAAGTCACTAGTGCACAGGAGCCCACACCACAGAAACCAATTCCATAACTGACACATTTGATAGTCTCAGTTGAGAGGCAAAGGACTAAACAAACCCAGGAGATTAAATTCCCCCTGTATGCCTATAGTGGGTGACTGTAGGAAATAGTTGATGGACATTTTCTTTGTGAAGGGAAAGGTGGAAGAATGGAGAATCCTGAGGAGTATTAATTTAAAACAAAAAACCACAAAATTTAAGTTAGTTTAACTTGATACATCCGTTTATGTTTACAGTTTTATTTCACTTAAATTGAAAAAAAATCCAGAATTAGATTGGAGAGTCTAATTTCTACAGGTAAAATCAATTAGAGCAGATTGGTCAGGAATAATTTGCAATATATTATTAAGATTTATAAATTAAGCCTCTGAAACCAGTTTGTAAAAAAGGTCAATCACTAACTTTTAAAGCTGTGAATATCACTTCCTGGGAAGATATGACCTCATTTTACCACCATCAACAAGAAGTCAAATGTTAACTAGTGACAAGTACACACATTATGTAATGCCTCTTCAAGGATCTAAAATTACTAGGGATGTGGATACAGTAAGGACTCTATTTGTTTCCTGCTTTGTGAGTAAGACTGACAAGGATGGTACATTGCTTGGCATATTACACATACACACTAAAATATTACTTTATTGACCCCATCTGTCTTTTTTAAAAGTAAGCATTCAAACCTCCTATCTAAGCATTCTCCAACTCATTAAATAATTGAAAATGATCACTAACAAAAATCCAGGTTTAGATTTTCAGAGCAGTGCAGAGGACTTTGCCACATATTTTCCATTCTATTATTTAGATTATCACAACCCTAGTATCAAAACTTCTATGAACTCTCAATACAGTGCAGGTAAGGCAGAGAAGTATTCTTTTTTAAAAACTTCTGGATATAAATAAATTAAAAATATTAAACTCAAACTGGGCTTCAGTCTCCAATGAAAACTGAATTCATCATCTATCAACATAATAGAGACCCAGGAGATTAAGTTACACCAGACAGTTAAGAAATACAAGCCAAAGTCTGAAAGCCTTTCGGTTAAAACCATTAAATATTTTTCTTAGCTGTTTGACAATGAATCTTAAACATTTTACCAGTGTGGTTTGATTTCAGCATTTTGGCCGGATCCAATGTTCATTCAAGTCAATTGGAGACTTTTCATTGATTTCAATTTGGCATTTTATGATTTAAGCATAACATACACACAACACTACAAAACAAACATTGTAGCATATTACCATAAGGCTGCTTAACATGACTTCTGACCTAGCTGTGATGATGATAAAGAATCAGGAATCTGTCAGGTTAAAACCTGTCTGCTATTAGGTACCATTCAGTCTCAATAATTGAGCGCGAGAAGAAAAGAAAATATAATATCAAGAATATTCTGATATTCAGCCTGGTTTCAGTTGACTGGGTCTCTGGAAAAAACAGCATTTCTAGCTATACTACAGGACAGTGGCCAAGTTCATGAGTGACAGTCCAGTATCATATACTACCATTAAATACCCAAACTTTTTATCAAATGATACTATTGCTTAAAAACACAGAGCTATTGTTGAATGGAAGCAGGAAAACAACGGCTCCTATTGTCAATGATCCTACGTGTTTGCCAGCCTCTAACTAGTAGCTACAGCTAGAAGGGTTTCAGAGTAGCAGCCGTGTCAGTCTGTATCCGCAAAAAGAACAGGAGTACTTGTGGCTCTTCCTACTACTTAGTGGTTTCAGCTGGAAATGGCAGTCTGCTCTACAGCACAATCAGAACTTCTCAAACTCACATTGCCCTAAAAAAGACAAGACATTCCCTGACTCAAAAATACAAAGTATTCTGGTATTGCTGGACATCCACTTCAGTACTTGAGATGTCAAACAGACTCATTCACAACCTAACGATAAAACCCCGACCAAGCAAGACTTTTTTAGGTTTAGGGATAAACTCACAAAAATACAGCTGTTTGTTTTCGTAAAGCCCCCACTTGTTCCAAGTAGTGAGAGATATCAGAACAGAAGGCTTAAAGATGCATTCCCATTTGGCAATGCCCATAGTTTATAAACACCAGACTGACAAAGCTCTCTTTTATTTCCTGAAGCCCAGCGAACTCGCTAATGAACTATCTCACATCAACAATATAGTTTTAGAAGAAGAAACTAAAACCCAGTGAAAAGATGTGGCAATCTCTTGATAGCTTCTTTATCTGACTCCTGCCAAAATCCCAGGGACATGATGCTAAGGTTAATTTTGTATTCTAGATGCAATTAAGATTTCTATTGTGATTCTTGTAGCACCTTGCATGCAACGTCCCAACATAATTTGAAAGATTTTTTTTTTAAATCACACTGTGTTTAGAAATAATTTTAAACCTAAAATCAGTGTGTGTGCTTATATTATATTTTACAGCATCCACAAATATGTTGGGTGCTTTGAATTACAAATAAGAAAAATGTGGTCCTTGGTCTGAAGAGCCAACAATCTAACTGATATTAACTGTGAATCTGACAGGGATTGATAGTAATGAATTCAAACAATACCTCAAAGTACTATTTTACTCTTACTGTATTCCTTAGGGCAGGAACCTCTGAGCATTGTAGGAACTTAAAATGGTAAAATCAAGTTAACCAGGTAAGAATTATGCAACACACATTACTGATATATAAATACACTTAAATGCAGATGAGGAAACATGCAAAATTTTGCCCCAACTAGTTGTATTTAAGTGAAGAAAACTTTAGATAAAGTTAAAACAAATAGTCAAAATGACAGATTTAAGACAACCTACTACATAGGTTTTAAGAGAAAGCTGAGAATTGGTAACAGCTTGCTTTGAGGAGAGTGTGTTAGCAGAGTTGAAGAAAAAAAAAAGAGAGGCAGTTTAAAAAAACAACAACAAAAAACACCCACTATGCTAAGGAGATTAGAAGCCCTGTGGCGCTTTTCAATAGTGCTGTTTGGTTAGGAACACTGGCACTGCTGCATACTCTGGAAGAAAATGTACTAACTGTGATGAAGCTGTTAAATACAAATAAAGTTTAAAAAAAAAAAGACATTTCTGCCTCTCTACTCTTAGGTGACTGTGAGGAATGTTGGATTTGTTTTTTTCTGGAATACTGCTGAGAACTTTGTTGTAATTCACCATTTTCGAAGGCTGTAGTTTGAGAGGCTTTAGAAAAGACTTCCCAATATCAACTCAGTTTAAAAACCCACAGGTAAGAGACTTTCATACAAGCCAGGTACACAGCAGGTATGAAAAAAACCATAATATGCACTTCTAATGAACCTTCCATCAATTATCTTAAAGCAGTCTGCACACATTAACAATTTAAGCCTCAACAATCGTGTGAAGAAGGGATTATTATCCCCTTTTACAATGAGGAAACAGAGGTACAGCAAAAGGAGTGACTTGCCTCAGGCTTCCACACCAAGGAATTGAACAAAGAACCCAAGTCTCCTGAATCCCAGTCCGGGGTCTTAATTAGCATATGAATGTGCACTGTTATTTGAAATACACTAGAGTCTTTTGAATTATATCCCACTAGTAACAGCAAATGATAAAAATTACAGAAAGCAACGGTGTAAAGATACCGTAGTTACGAGAGGAAGAGAGAGAAGAGTTTTAAGAAGAGATTTGAAAATAAATAGAAGTCTTAAAATAAGAGATCTAATCCAAAAAGAGAGAGACACTCAGTTCCAGGAATGCTTTTCACAGAGACATGCATGCAGAACTTTACTAACTTGCTGTGTTTAATTTTTGAAGCCAAGGGAAAAAAACACCAGGTTTAACATTTCCTTTTTCTCCCATACACTATTCATTTAAATACAGAAGTCACCAGACAATGCCATGAGTAGAATCCCCTAGCCCACTTTGGTCTCCCCTCTTTGTCCTCTGTGGTAAATCTCTTCAAGAGACATCTGTGCAACACATGAACTATGCAAAAAGCTTTGTAATTTATTGAAAGAACAAAATGAATCTCCATATAGTGGCCCAAATGCAGTGCAAAGAACTGACACCAGGCTACTCTGATTTTCAAATACACTGACGTCAGTACTAACTGCCATCTTTATAACACAAGTCTCATGCATCTAAATATGTAGCTTTTCAAAGGCAGTATTAAAGAAACATGCTGTATGTTTTCATAGTTCGAGCAGGGAGATAGTAATCAGCTCGCCTGGGTTCTGTTCCCAACTGCCACTGTCTTAACATATGATCATGGGGAAGTCGCAACATCTGTGCCTCAGTTTCCCCATCTGTAAATGAGGATGATACTTACTATGTGAAAAGCACCTGGATGACAGATGTTAGTTATAGAAACGTGAAGTATTATTATAGAAATGGAAACAGTTGCTATGTGCCAAATACTATTCTTTAATGAGTCGCATACAGACAAAATTATTAAATAAGACTATTTTAGGTATTTGTTCCTTTTGTACTTACTGGCGAAAAGCTGTCATTGTGTTTTCCAGGTTCTCTCCAGCACCTGTGAAAACATCAAGAACAAATTTCATAAAAGACATCTTTTTATGATACCCTGAGGGAAAATATACCACTGAACGTAAACAATTCAGTGGGTAAAATTGTCAGTTTATGAGGGAATGTGGTCTGGAGGAATGAGCCAGGAATCCTGAGTTCTAATCCTACCTGACACTGACTGACTATATCATTTTAAACAAGTCACGTCACCTCTTTGAGCCTCAGCTTTCCATTCTGTAAAATGGGGCTAATACTTAATCTCATAGAAGTGTTTTAAGTTTTAGCGTTAGTATAGCACTTTGAACACAGAAAGCACTGAAGTTATTCTTGAGTATTATATAAATTAGAGACTCAGACTTCTACTCCCAAGACATAGTGCCCTGCCCTGAACCTCTATATCAAAAAAAGCAACTGACGGCTGTTTTGTAGAACTCCCTAAAATGCATTTTATCCTCATTATATATCATCTGCAAATCACCAACAAGACATTTAGAATACTACATACTTCAGACTATTTTTCAATTTGCATTAAAGTGCTAGGTCAATAGCACAGGTGAAATGAACCAGACACTTAACAATTATCTATAATAAGACACTTGCCACAAAACAAGTCTGCTTCAGACAAGAGAACTTTGATTGATATCAGTCAAGAGACTTGGGTTGACTCCCACTGCTAGTACTAAGAATAATGAATCCTGTATGACTTCTTGACAAATTCTGCAGATTAACTAAAACATTGCTAAACTTATTGAACATGCGAACACAGTATCCCCAATAATGTCACGGCAAACCTAGTGGCTGAACTTTGTGACTTTGTCCTCACCCATAACTATTTCACATTTGGGGACAATGTATACCTTCAAATCAGCGGCACTGCTATGGGTACCCGCATGGCCCCACAGTACACCAACATTTTTATGGCTGACTTAGAACAACGCTTCCTCAGCTCTCGTCCCCTAATGCCCCTACTCTACTTGTGCTACATTGATGACATCTTCATCATCTGGACCCATGGAAAAGAAGCCCTTGAGGAATTCCACCATGATTTTAACAATTTCCATCCCACCATCAACCTCAGCCTGGACCAGTCCACACAAGAGATCCACTTCCTGGACACTACGGTGCTAATAAGCGATGGCCACATAAATACCACCCTATACTGGAAACCTACTAACCGCTATACTTACCTACATGCCTCCAGCTTTCATCCAGACCACACCACATGATCCATTGTCTACAGCCAAGTTCTACAATACAACCGCATTTGCTCCAACCCCTCAGACAGAGACAAACACCTACAAGATCTCTATCAAGCATTCTTACAACTACAATACCCACCTGCTGGAGTGAAGAAACAGACTGACAGAGCCAGAAGAGTACCCAGAAGTTACCTACTACAGGACAGGCCCAACAAAGAAAATAACAGAACGCCACTAGCCATCACCTTCAGCCCCCAACTAAAACCTCTCCAACGCATCATCAAGGATCTACAACCTATCCTGAAGGACGACCCATCACTCTCACAGATCTTCGGAGATAGGCCAGTCCTTGCTTACAGACAGCACCCCAACCTGAAACAAATACTCACCAGCAACCACACACCACACAACAGAACCACTTACCCAGGAACCTATCCTTGCAACAAAGCCCATTGCCAACTGTGTCCACATATCTATTCAGGGGACACCATCAGAGGGCCTAATGACATCAGCCACAATATCAGAGGCTAGTTCACCTGCACATCTACCAATGTGATATATGCCATCAGGTGCCAGCAATGCCCCTCTGCCATGTACATTGGTCAAACTGGACGGTCTCTACGTAAAAGAATACAGGGACACAAATCAGACGTCAAGCATTATAACATTCAAAAACCAGTTGGAGAACACTTCAATCTCTTTGGTCACTCGATTACAGATCTAATAGTGGCAATATTTCAACAAAAAAACTTCAAAAACAAACTCCAACAAGAGACTGCTGAATTGGAATTAATTTGCAAACTTGATACAATTAACTTAGGCTTGACTAGAGACTGGGAGTGGATGGGTCATTACACAAAGTAAAACTATTTCCCCATGTTTATCCCCCCACCCCGCACTGTTCCTCAGACGTTCTTGTCAGCTGCTGGAAATGGCCCACCTTGATTATCACTACAAAAGGTGTCCCCCCCGCTGGTAATAGCTCACCTTAAGTGATCTCTCTGGTTACAGTGTGTATGATAACACCCATTGTTTCATGTTCTCTATGTATATAAATCTCCCCACTGTATTTTCCACTGAATGCATCCGATGAAGTGAGCTGTAGCTCATGAAAGCTTATGCTCAAATAAATTTGTTAGTCTCTAAGGTGCCACAAGTACTCCTTTTCTTTTTGCGAATACAGACTAACATGGCTGCTACTCTGAAAAGTGTACTATGGTTAGACTGATAGAACATGAGAGACTGATGGCATGATACAAACTGCTTATTTTTTTTATTTCATTTCTTAGCTGCCTCTCTATCTGTCTGTTCTGAAAAATCTCCAGGGATGGGAATTCCACCTCTCTTGGAAGCCTATTCCAGAGCGTAACTAACCTCACAGCTGGAAAGTTTCTCCTAATACCTAATCTAAATCTCCCTTGCTAAAGACAAAGCCAATTATGTCGTTTCCTACCTTCAGTGGACAGGGAGAACAATTTATCATAGTCCTCTTTAAAATAGCCTTTAACATATTTGAAGACTGTTGTCAGGTTCCCCAACAGTCTTCTTTTGTCCAGAGCATAACATGCCCAGGTTTTTAACCATTCCTCACAGGTTAGGTTTTCTAAACCTTTTATAGCAGAGTTGTTCAGAAAATGTACACAGAGCTAATTCAAGAGACTTAAATGAACTTCAGACTCAGAAGAGAAGTAATAAAAGAGGGTTTAGAATCTAAAGTCTTGCCTACATTCAAAGTTGCACCAGTTTAATTTAAATGTACAATATTAAACTGATTTAGTTATACTACAGCAAGACTGTGTGTGAACACATTTAATTTAATTCAAACATGGCTTATATCAATGTAGCTTAACTCAATTCCTTAGATAAGGCAAAGCCACATAACGCCTTAGTAATGAGGACAAGAAGCTTAAACTATCTTAAACTTTGACTTCATTGTAGTAACACAGTCCATAAGTCCAAAATGTGAAGAAAAAACAAAAGCAAAAATCAAGTTAATCTCCAGTAGCAGCATGGAAGTCCACAAATCAGGCTTTAAATGATGGGTGTGGCCAGCCACATGGCACAGGTAGCGGTGAGACAAATAGATCGGCAAGACAGTCATGCTTGTGGGTGTTTTGGGGGAGCAGAAAGAATAGTTTAAAGAGCAGCCAGAACAGAAAGTTGGTTGAAGATTCCAAAGGCAGTGGAGTGAACACAGAACCCGACAGCCAAAGGAGGTAGCTGAGCTAGAACTGGAGTTTTATTGCCTGGCCTGCTGCTAGCCAGATTCCTAGAATAGGGGTTTTTACCAGCTGACTTCAGCTGGTTATGCAGTGAGAAAAGAGAATAATACAACAGTCTAAATGGGATTAAACAAACCCATTAGCAACGAACAAAATCAGCAAGAAAAACGGGAGTTGCACTCTGGCAACATATCTGAAGGTGAGAGGTTTTTCGCAGGAGTGGGTGTGTGAAATTCTGTGGTCTGCATTGTGCAGGAGGTTAGACTAGAAGATCATAATGGTCCCTTCTGACCTTAGTATCTATGAATATATGAAATGATCAGGAATTTTCCACAGCAGAAACAGGAGTCAGATGTCAGCTCAGGAGATGATTTCTCCTAAAGTTTCAAGCATGGAAACAGGCTATACAGAAAAGTCATGATGGATAGAAAATTCAAACTGTTGCCTAGATCCTCCTGGTATTATCTATTTTGTTTTAATTTCTTTTTAAGATACATTTATACTCCAAGCCTTATAATATGGTAAGCAAGCAAGAAAAAGGTACTCAAAGGCCAAAGTAAAGGACATGGTGCAAGAACTTAGACAGCAGAAGGAAGATTAAAAAATGTGTGCATCTCATGAATGTAAGAATGAAATTTAAGACCACGCTGACAGGTTATATTACCCAGTGCAAGCATGTACAGTTTAATGAGAAGAAAGTCCTGTGTGACATCTAGGACACACATAGTTACCAAGTGCTCTGTAGCAGTAGTTCTCGGAAAAAAAATAAGTTTAATCACTGACTCCAGCCACTAATCACCCTGACAAAAATCACTGTTTTTTTTTTTTTTTAAAGTTACCTTTACCAGAGTCAAAAGAAATTTTACCCTTACAAAATATTTGTCCCGCAGTCTTTCAACTAAAGGATTCATCTCACTCATTAACTAATATGGGTAACTGTTCAAGTACTCACTTAACCATTTTGTTTTTCAATACTACCTAAGAAATTTAGGACTAATGATAAATTACACAGCTAACACCAGGGAAAATGTTTAAAACTTACCTGCTGTATTTTTATGTTCCTCATCAGATCAACAATTTTCTCTTGTGCTAAGTGCCCCAATCTCAGAAATATAAAAGGCTACAGTTAATGGTTGAGACAAAGCTTTTTGAATTTGTAGGGAGAAAATCTGGGAGAGTACCAGAGGACTAATTAAGTCCTTTCTATAGAATTACCATGTCATCTTTCAGATTCCAGGGTGGATAAAAATCAATGATTTTTTTTTAAACTATTTTTTTTATTTAAATCAGATTTTTTGGATAAAATGCTTTTTGAGGAAAAAACCTATCTAAAGATAGTTTTAATTAAGATACATTATAGCTCAAAGACATCTTATCATGGAATAGGGATTATAAATTCTAATTCTATAGTATGAGACAATATATTCATATAATGTTTATGAAAAGTTTTGTAAATGAGTTCCAATAGTTCATGGATTAGGGACCCAATTTTATGGGGTTATAGTGGTTTCTGTATAGATTATTTAGGTTTCAGAGTAGCAGCTGTGTTAGTCTGTATTTGCAAAAAGAAAAGGAGTACTTGTGGCACCTTAGAGACTAACCAATTTATTTGAGCATAAGCTTTCTATCTACCCAATGGGACTCAATGCTCAGTCTAGAATATATCATTAGAGATACTTAGTTTTGCAGTTCTCAGACTGTGGATTTGTGTCTCCAGAGATAACACGCTTGTTAACAGCAAAAATGCTTTAAAATAAATAATATATAGAGGTGAGAAATAACAGACCCCAACCCTATCATCCCTCTGCAAATTTGTGTACACAAAGTCAATCCCTTACCTCTCTCTAAAAGTGCAAGGTTTCAAAAAGTTCAATGAATCAAACAGGGTGGCCAACCTGAGACTGAGAAGGAGCCAGAATTTACTAATGTACATTGCCAAAGAGCCACAGTAATACATCAGCAGCCTCCCATCAGCTTGCACCCCCGTCCAGCCCCCAGCACCTCCTGCCTGGCAGCAACCCCACCAATCAGTGTCTCCCCCCTCCCGCCTGCCTGCTGCAATCAACTGTTTCGTGTGCGCAGGAGGCTCTGGGGATGGGAGGATTGATGGCATGGTAGGCTCGGGGGGGAAGGAGCAGGGGCCTTGGGGGAAAGGGTGGAGTGGGGCCAGAGCTGGGGGTTGAGCAGTGAGCACCCCACAGCACATTGGAAACTTATAGCTCCAGCCCCAGAGTCAGCGCCTATGCCAAGAGCAGCATATTAACCTCTGAAGAGCCGCATGTGGCTCCGGAGCCATGGGTTGGCCACCCCTGGAATAGAAGATTTTTGGGGGTGGAATAAATCTGGACAAGGAGAAAAAGTCTGGAGATAAATGTGAGAAGGGAGGGACAGGCAGTAGAAACAAAAGTGAAACTGTTTGAGCAGCATATTCCAGAAGTCTTGAGGTCTTTCTGAGTGTAGCCTTCATTGATTTGAGATCTACCATACCATTCTCTCACTAGAAGGGAAAGCCTATAATGGCAGCAGGCCGTAAAAGAGACGCAGTTTGGGAATAAGAGCCATTCGAGAAACATACGTTTGCTGATGATATTTTAAAGAAAGTCACACCAGTGAACTGCTGGAGGTCACTTAAGTACTTGGATTCAAAGACTGTTTAAGTGATAATCTTACTTTTAATAACAGCAGCTCTTTCTGTCAGTGTAGAAAGAATATTTTCTTCCTTTGGACTAATTCATTCGAAATTGAGAAATTGTTTGGGACCTGAAAAAGCAAGTAAGCTTGTTCTTCTTTTCCAGATTATGAACAAACAGGAAAATGAAGGTGAAGACCACTGAGTTAGCTGCAGAAGCCAATATTTTAAATTTCTTATGTTGACTTGGCTGCCATAGTCTATTAAATTTTGTGGTGTTTTTTTTTAAATATTTCATGTAACTATTTTAGTTAAAAACAATTAACAAAAACAAACCTGATTTTAAAAAACTTGAATGTTTAAAATCAAAAATTCATATGCTTATTTTGTTAAAATATTATATGTTTGCTGTTGAAGAAAAAAATGCGGAATACATAACGTTGTTTTAGTTAAATAAAACAATTTAAATATCTGTCTGGTGATGTTCTCCTCCTAATGCAGCATGGCAAGAAAATCCTCCAAATATTAATGATTAACCTGTTGAACTGGAGATAGTTCACCTCTCAATGACTTTGGTAAATGAAATAACCAAACAATATTCATTTTCTCATATAGCTGTAAAACTAATCTGAAAAGTTTTCAAAATAAATCACTTAAAAATGTATAGTGTGTACCTTCTAAAAATGAAACCTACATCTATCTCTGATTGTGAAGAATATGTATAAAGGTTATAGCAACCAAAAAGAATGCATTTTTATGTAGAAATCCATGACTAAATCGAGTCTTCCTGACTAGTGATTTAAATCAAATCCACCCTGTCAGATTCCCTGGAAATGTCTGTTGTAATGTTTTGAAAAAGGAGCCCTAGTTCTGCAACACAATTTCCATGAACTAACTTGTGACAGAGGAACTGAAATAAGAAAATTAACTACTGCAATGAATCATCTTCCTTCCTTCGAAACGCAAAGGCTGGGTTTACAACGTGTGTTCTGACATATTATATGTTTAGGTACCTCTCCACAGTGATTTATTTCTTACTTGGTATGTCAGATATATAGCCAAAGGTACAAACAATTGCAGACCTCCTTCCCTGGCATACTTGGCACTGAGCCAAAGTGGCCACATCTAGAGAGTTTCATTTCACATTCTACTTCAGAGAACATCAATGTGGGGCAGATGAGAGTCATGGACAGAGCAGCAGATGAGTTATAAGATGACAGAACTCTACAAAAACACATATGAAATAAGAAGGCTCTCCTCCCTCAACTTCGTACATATAAACAGTCTCGGTACAAACCCCCAATGACCACAAGAAAATATAGTTCATTATCAATTAAAAACATACAAAGTGGAAGCCTATTTGCAATGAGTGTGACTGGTACGCAATGCTTTCAAAACAGGCTGCAACTCAATCTGCACAGCCTGCATGGATTCTAGCATAGAATATCAGGGCTCAGGTTACTGATCTTTCAGATTTACCATTTCAAAATTTAGACCAATGGAAGATTATCTACAAATAATGGATGAGGACTTCTATGCAGGTGCTGTAAACTGAGATAGAAGGGTTAGAGTTTGATCCACCATCTCAGTACAAAGAGAAACTCAAAGAGGTTAAGAGATATCTTGATTTCTGAATTTCATAGTGGTAACACAGCAAGGTCCTGACAATATATCCAAAGCAGTAGATTGAAGAAGTTTTATTTAGCAAACACTATGTTATATAGGTTTCAGAGTAGCAGCCGTGTTAGTCTGTATCTGTGAAAAGGAGTACTTGTGGCACCTTAGAGACTAACAAATTTATTTGCGCATAAGCTGAATGCATTCCACTGTATGCATCCGATCAAGTGAGCTGTAGCTCACAAAAGCTTATGCTCCAATAAATGTTAGTCTCTAAGGTGCCACAAGTACTCCTTTTCTTTTCTACTATGTTATATATACATCCAACACACTTCTCACAGTATCAGTCTTACATGGTGAACTAGCCGTTTCAGTATTCTGAGGTTAGTATTACTGCCCTAGTTGTAGTACACAGCATATACACTGTCCTTCATTCAGTTAAAGGTTGTTTGCATAGAAGTGCCTAACAGATAACCATCCTATTGAAAAAGAATTAACTTTTAAAGCTGCTGATTGGTGCAGCTATGGAGAAGGTAAATCAATAGGCTGGTTATATGCTAACTAACATACCCTAGAAAACACACTATGTGCAAAATTACTTAGGTCAATCACTAATCAGAAACGTAGATTTTGTAAAAGTTAGGTTTTAGAAAATGTTTTCATTATTTTAATAGGACCCAGAAGTCTGACTCCCAATACCCTGCTCTCACCACTAGAGCACACTTTTGTTTGTGTGTGTGAGAAAAAAAATGATAGTGAATCTGGGCCCGCTTTGAATATGGGGTAGAAACCACCAAAATGTGGATTCCACGGAAAGCCAGGGGTCTCCATGTGAGATTTGCTTGGAGTTGGAGAATTTGTTCAGCCCTGAAACCAAGGACAATTCGGCGGTGGTGGTGGGGGATGAAAATGGGGTGCCGAGGAGAAGATGGGGGGGGGGGGAGAGACACACTCAGTGCGAACGGAAATCGCTGCGTTGCAGGCAGCCAGAACACCCAGTGTCGGCTATTACCAGCCTAGCAGAGCCAAGCCGCCCAGGTAACAGGCAGATCAGCGTCACACACATACCGCGGCCGCGTCGGGAATGACCAGCCCTTGGCGGCGCAGCGCGGCTGGGGGCTGCTGACCCCGACTCCCGCAAGAACAAGGACCGGGCCCTGGCGAGAGGGGTTTGAGGTGAATCCCCCACCACCGTGCCGGGGAGGAATGGGGGAAAGCCGGGGAGAGGGGTGCTCCCTCCCCACGCCTTGAGATGAGAGGTGACCCCGGACCCCTCACGGTTACGGCGGGAAACGACCCCGCTCCCGCAGGAGCCGCGCGGGCCCCGGTGCCGGGTCTCACCGCCGCGGTGGGAGATGTGCCGGCAGCGGAAGCGCTGCCGCTTGGGCCGGTGCAGCAGTCCCGGGCACTTGAGCAGCAGCACCGAGGTGAGGAGGTAACCGCCCAGCGTAGAGACCAGACACAGGGCGACGCCGGCCATCCTGCCCGCTCCCCCGGAGCCGGTCAGCCTCCGGCAGCCGCGCACGAGCCCGCCCCACCCCGCGCAGCCGCAGCCTCTCCCGCCAGTCAACCCGAGCGAGGGAACGGAGAGCGCAGGCGCGCAGCCGCACGCGCGACGAGGGGGCTCGGCCCTCCCTTGAGGGAAACTGACTCAGTTCTAACACCTGAGGGCTCATTCTCCCCCCTTCTAGCCCCCAGGGGCCTCAGTCCCCCCCCACTCCGAGGGGGGATTAACCCCTCCCCCTGCCATATACACCCGCGAAGGGTTCCCCGGCAGGGTCTCACCTTCCCTGAGATCATTCCCTGCCATACTCACAGAGGAGGGAAATTAACCACACACCCGCGTGGACCCCCCCCTCCCCCGCACAATCCCAGGAGGTGGATTAAACACCTTCCCACAGATTGTATCCCTCTCACACACACATGGGATTAACTCCCCAACCTCTGTCTTCCCTGGGAGGGCTCTTCCCCAAGGACAAATTAATTTCTCCTTTACTTCCTCCCTTCATCAGAGTAGTTAGACTTCTTTCTTTCCCATAACGAGATTAAACCCTGCCACCCAGCATCAGGGAACCTTATGCCATGGAAGGAATTCCCCTTCCCATCCCCCATAGATGAAGGGCTTGCCCCCATTTCACCTCAGCAGGGGGTGCACCTCTAGGCTTCCTCCCCCAGCATCTGAGGAGAACCTCAAACCCCCTCCTGCTTTCTCCAGTGGTTTAGGCAAGAGCATATCTTTGAATCAACTCTTTCCCCCACCCAGCATACAAGCATTTGTGTCAAGTTTTATAACTTTTCACCCCACAGCCCTTTAACCTCTGCCTAGGGGCATCTCTACATTCTGCACCCCTACTCCCACCCCACTGTCACAAGCAGCCACAGGTGCTACCCTTTCCACTTACTTGGGATGGAAGGGGTAGCACCTGCACAGAAATGTAGATGACTGAGAATATTTTGAATAAATATGCCAGTCACCTGCACATCACTGGGTTTAATGCAGCCCTAATATGGACACCAGGTAATTCAACAGAGGGTGGCTAGCCTGGAAACAGCCAATTGCTTGTGATTCAACTGGTGTAAAACAAGTGACTGAAATAAATTGACTGAGTGTGCCTGAAAACCCATATTCTTCTGGAAAGCACTAGGGATGTTTAGTAACCAGCACTATAAAACCCCATCTAAAACAAAATCATATTTAAAAGATTATTGCAAGAATGGTTTCTGGGATCAACAAAAATAATCTGTCAAACTTTCCTTTTTGAAGGACAGTACCAATGTGACTGATAGTTCAGGTGTGATCAATAAACACCATAAACCCAGGAATTTGTGTAATGTTTTGCTTGTTTTATAGAGGGAGACCTACAGTGCCTATTACATTATCATAATCTTCAATTCAGCCTGGAGTTTAAGTGCACCAGTTCTCACACCCCCTAAAAGAGGTTAGAGGCAAACTTTTCCACATACTGAGGCCAAAACTGAGATAAAGATCCAAAAGTCTGATAGACTTCAGACAATTAGACATTTAAAATTAATGGAGACGGGATAGGAAATTAAGAGTTTAGTATTGTTCTTTTGCTTGACTTGGAAGCAAGCTGCATTTGGCCATTTCATGTGCGTAAAACTGCATTAAACCCAGTCTTCCCATACTGATCATTTATGAATTTATCAATTATGTCAAAATCTCAGTAAACAGTTATTCCAGAGACAACATAATCTGCACCATTTTATCCTTGATAAGATATTTCCACTCCACTTTTTTCCTCAAATGAAACAGATTACCTTTCTTTAACATTCAGTAATTTATGATCAATGACAGCATATACACAATCTGAATATGAGATTGACACTCTGAAAACCAAGCCATTCATTTCAGAGTTATTTGAGGCAGAAGAGCCTTCTAGTGGGCCAGCTGCTCTAATCTCTCTACAACTGTATTCTTGTACCTAAGTGTTATACTCCACAAGCGCCTTTCACATATGATATTTGTACAGGCATTTTACAAACACCATCAATTGTTTCCAGCTGTTTTGAGTTCCAGCTGAATTTTCCTCTTCTTCCAATAACAGTCTAAACATTTCAGTTTGTGTATGCAAATTCTTCTCCTCTCACTGATGTTTCTCTATTCAATCACCATATGAAGAAGCACAAACAATTTAGTAATCTGACTCCTTCTTAAGTTTTCTGCTCCAGGATCTTAAAGCACTTTCTAAATTTTCATGCATTAAGTCACACAGCAGCCCTCAAAGAGCGAGGGAGGTATTATTCGCATCTTATAGTTTAGAAAATGAGGCAGACATTTGAGTAATTGACTTAACATGACAAATAATTAGAAGGGAAAAGAACTCACGTATCACAATTCCCATACTGTGCTTTAACTGCCCTAGTAGTGCAAACTGGGAGAAATTCTAACCCTTTGATATATGTTACTAGGGCTTTTTTGTTTGTTTGTTTAATTTTTAAACTTGTTTTAGAATGGGTTTCAGTTGTCAGTATTTTGTCTTTTTTTTGTTTGTTTTTTTTAAAGCACACCTAACCTTGACTTAGTTGTAGGAGCCGATTTCTTATAGCCACAGCTATGGCACTGGATAGATAATTTTCAAAAACAAGATCTGGTTGTATGATCCACGAATGTAGACATATTTTTAATTTGCTTTTTAAAAATATTTCTGACCTGAATGAACAGGGTTCCTGGCTCTGATGGAATTGAGAGGACAAATCCAAAAATGACAAAAGATATCTGTAATTACATTTTAAAAACTCAAATACAAAGTTTGATAACACAATAAGAGTCCATATTTTTGATTTAAAAAGCCAGGTTATAGAGACAGAAAAAGGTTCTCTTCTCACTGTCTTCATCTGACAAGTAAACAGCTTGATTCCAAGCAGGGGTAATTTTAATGTAAATTCCTAAATATGTAATTAGGGACACACAGCTGACTCATCAAAACATGTAGGGACACAGGCTCAGACAATAAAGATAAATTAAAAGTCGATGGTTTCTACATATGAAAACTGAATAGGTAAACAGAGAAAGTTGCCATGTTCCTTTCTCCACTTTGATTCTCAGATCTTTATTCTGAATCTGGACCCTATTCACTTTACATGCAGTGGTTTCACTATACCAAGCAGTGATTACTGTTTAAGTATCAACAGTTAGGAATCAAAATCCATAATTTGGATTGAGAAAAAATGTCACCGTAAACCAGGACCAATGTACCAAAATAATTCTTATTGTGTAATGGCTTTTAGTATTCCTCGAACAACCTTATAACTCATTAACTGCTGGTTTTCTTTAGGAGGAAAACAAGGTCCACGTTCTGTCACATAAGCGTAAGGGAATCGCAGCACCCACAGTCCGTCAGGCGGGAGGGTTATTTCCTGTTTCTCAGGGTAAAATGTAGGGCAAGGTGGAGGTCCTGGTTGAACCTGAAAAACAACAGAGTAGGAAATATGTTAAGTGCTTTAAAAGATAAAATCATCAAACTATTGGAATAAAGACCTCTCAAATAACTAAATCCACACTGGTCTAATAAGCCTCTACTAAAATGAGGTTTGAAGCCTCTTTAGCGCATTTCTAGAAGACGGCGTTTAAATGCTGTTCTTTCCAGAAAGGAAAAGTCTCAAACCCCAGTGTGATCAAGACGCTGAATTTAAGATAGCAGATTTGGCATCAGATCACTAAGGCCCTGTCTCACACTACAAAAAAAAATTTAAAGAAAATCTACATTTAGGTATCCAGTTGCATCTGTGTAGTGCAGACAAGATTAAACTGTTTCAACTGTGACTCAAATTGTTCTTCCACCTTGGATTTTTCAGGACTGTAGCATGATTCAAGAGCACTTACAATATTGTTTGGTATCAACTGCACTAGAAGACTGAGCGGTGTCTTAACCAGGTCAAGAACTGATGTGGTGCAATTGTTTCCTTCAGCATATTAGATTTTCACATGGTGGACAAGGGCCTTAGAAATCATATCACTTATGGGTATCAGTATCACTAGCTGATTTAGCTTTTTCCTTGCCACTTCATCCACATTTGCCCCTAAAGGGGAATTTTGAAATACCACCATTAGGGCCTGATTGTGCAGTTCATACACAGGCAAAACACATGGAAGTTAAATGCGAGTCTGAAAGGGTAGGCTGCAAAACTGTATCTTAACCACTGAAGTGAAGTTACTGCATTTTGTGTATATAATTGGTGCCTTTTCACCGCTGTGTGTAGCTTTAATCATTGCTCCTGCTGCTTGAACTTGCAAATCAAAAAACAATTTAGTATGTGGGTCTTTAAGGTCTTCTCTAAAACAGGTTACGTTTGCTTTGTAGGAATACAGCACTGGAAGGGACCTCTGGAGACACTGAGTCCAGTCCCTTGCTATCACAGGCAAATCAGTCATACAATCCCATTCTTAAACTTAGCAAGTTCCATCTTAATATTAGATAGGTTGTTTGCCCCCATTACTCCTATTGGAAGGCTGTTCTAGGACCTCACTCCTCTGATCAGACACCCTGTAAATTTCCAAACTACAGCTCTCAAATAGCTCTTCTCCATCCCTGATGCCCACGCCCAATGCATTTTCGAGAGAAATCATATTTCCTCTCGGCCTTAATTTTGCTAGGCTGAACAAGACACCTTTTCGTCTCCTCATATAAGATAGGCTTCCCATTCCCAAGAGCATTCTGGTAGCACTTTTCTGTTCCTGTTTGATTTCATCTCTTTTCAACATGGGTATATGAATGATCCCAGAGCACTTTAGGGAAGTAGATTGTTTCTCCCCACAACTGATATAAACATACTGTGTGCTGGCTGCATTTCAGTGATGCTGTATTATTTACTTTAGGTACCAACAAATGAAATTTTTTTGCCGTATTTTACAAAGTGCTATATAAATGGTAAGATTATTCCAGGACAGCGTACTACTGGAAAACACATTTTGTTCATATTTCATTACTTTAAAAAAAAAAAGAAGTGGCACACATATCAATTTCAAATATCAATCTCCTTTTCTCAGCATCTAGAAATACATGAAAATTACATCTTTTTCATTCTACAGA